CGACGCGGGCCAAGATGTCTGCCGCCAACCTTCCACACAAAAAACAAACAAGCATTATTGCAAAATTACAAACTGTGCAAAACTCGCGCAACATGAAAAAGGTGGCCACCCAGGATGGGCTGGTCCCCCCCCCCCACCACCACACACACATCCCTGTGCGCCCCAATCCTGCGCCACTGAGTGCTGGCCCTTCGTGTGCTGTGTGACACGGTATGCGGTAAATTGACCTTTCAAAGAATTTAAGTTTGGCGTCCAAATAATGCCACGCTCAAGTTTAAAAAAAACCCTATGATTCCCTCGAGACCTGATTACATCTGTCTAGCTAGAAACCATGATTACATCTGTCTAGCTAGTAACCATGATTACATCTGTCTAGCTAGAAACCATGATGGCATCTGTCTAGCTAGTAACCATGATGGCATCTGTCTAGCTAGTAACCATGATTACATCTGTCTAGCTAGAAACCATGATTACATCTGTCTAGCTAGAAACCATGATGGCATCTGTCTAGCTAGTAACCATGATTACATCTGTCTAGCTAGAAACCATGATGGAATATGTCTAGCTAGAAACTATGACGACATCTGTCTAGTTAGAAAAGATTATGGCATCTGTCTAGCTAGAAACCATGATTACATCTGTCTAGCTAGAAACCATGATTACATCTGTCTAGCTAGAAACCATGATTACATCTGTCTAGCTAGAAACCATGATGGCATCTGTCTAGCTAGTAACCATGATTACATCTGTCTAGCTAGAAACCATGATGGAATATGTCTAGCTAGAAACTATGACGACATCTGTCTAGTTAGAAAAGATTATGGCATCTGTCTAGCTAGAAACCATGATGACATCTGTCTAGCTAGAAACATTATGGCATCTGTCTAGCTAGAAACCATGATGACATCTGTCTAGCTAGAAATCATGATGACATCTGTCTATCTAGTAACCATGATTTAATCTGTCTAAGATAGAAAACATGATTACATCTGTCAAGCTCAAAATTATGATTAAACCTATCTAACCTAGAAATCATGATTACATCTGTCTAGCTAGAAACCATAATTATATCTGTCTAAGCTAGAAACCATGATTACATCTGTCTAGTTAGAGCCCATAGTTACATCTAACCAGGCTAGAAATCATGATTACATCTCACTCAGCTAGAAACAATTATTACATCTACCTAGGCTAGAAGCCATGATTACAGCTATCCAGATTAGAGACCATGATTACGTCTACCCAGGCTAGAGACCATGATTTTATCTTCCCATGCAAAACATTTGTATAGCTAGTTAGATCATGTCCCTGAATCAATCAGGGGATTTGTGCCCACCCCTCTCAATCAGTTAGTTAATGGCCCAAAATTTACCACACTATGACTTACCTCACTGACATGACAATAGACAACTAGAATTTTTAAAAAAGGTAAAAGATAACAAAATTACATTACACTGTCCTTTCTCTTTATCGTAAGTTTCTAAGAAATTTCTTTTTATAGCTAAATAATTTAAGTAACATCCCCTGTCATTTCGCCACATCCGGTTTAGTTCTAATACGAGGTGCGCAATGGTGCGCAAGTCAAATGAACGTGCTAGAAGCAGCAAGGTCGGCAACATATCCTCATAGAGATTCAGTCAATATATTATGCTCATAAAGATTCATTCAACATATCCTCATAGCGATTCAGTCAACATATCCTCATAGAGGTTCAGTCAATAAATTATCCTCATAGAAATTCAGTTAACATATTCTCATAGAGATTCAGTCAACATATCGTCATAGAGGCTCAGTCAACATATCCTCATAGAGATTCAGTCAACATATCCTCATAGAGATTCAGTCAACATAACCTCATAGAGATTCAGTCAAGATATCCACAATGCTTAGCGAGCTCTCAGGAGTTTTTCGTAAATGACATGATCCTACCACTGCTAGTGACATTATACTACTACTGCTAGTGACATTATACTACTACTGCTAGTGACATTATACTAATACTGCTAGTGACATTATACTACTACTGCTAGTGACAATATACTAATTTAGCTAGTGATAGTATACTACTACTGCTAGTGACAGGATACTACTACAGCTAATGCCATGATACTGTTACAGCTAGTGACATGACACTACTACAGCTAGTGACATGTCAGGACTACTACTGCGAGTTTTGGCTGGCCAGCCTAGTTTTAAATACACAATAATCCGTGGTATCAGTGTTGCGAGCCAAATAGAAATAACATTTCATATAACATTGTATATCTTCTCAAAAACATTAACAAAAAGCTTGTTGAAACGAGCGTTATAACAATCCATTAGCGTTACAACAATCCATTAGCGTTATAACAATCCATTAGCGTTACAACAATCCATTAGAGTCACAACAATCCAGTAGAGTCAAACAACTGAACCTCGCTTATTTTCGGATTGATGTATCTGCCTCGTAGGGTAGGTGATGTGTGCGACATCTGCCTCGTAGGGTAGGTGATGTGTGCGACATCACTTTTTGAACATCTGTTGAACTTAACTTTCTATTTGAACATCTGTTGAACTTAACTTTCTATTTGAACATCTGTTGAACTTAACTTTCTATTTGAACATCTGTTGAACTTAACTTTCTATTTGAACATCTGTTGAACTTAACTTTCTATTTGAACATCTGTTGAACTTAACTTTGTATTTGAACATCTGTTGAACTTAACTTTCTATTTGAACATCTGTTGAACTTAACTTTCTATTTGAACATCTGTTGAACTTAACTTTCTATTTGAACATCTATTGAACATAACTGTCTCTTTGAACATATGTTGCACATACCGTCCTCTTTGAACTTCTTCTGAACATTAAGATATATCCGAACCTATTATTTCATATGCCTTTTTCCGAACAGAATTGCTTACCACCCCATCCCGTAAATGGTTTAACTTTTAAGTCAACAATTGGCTTTTCGCCATGTACTTTATAAATGCTTAAAGATGATTAGATCGCAGAAAACTGCCTTGAATCATGTGTGTGTGTCTGTGTGTCATTTGAAGAGTTTGGATTTAGGCAAATCATCATCTCTACATTCTGAATAAAAATATCCCTAAATTATCAATTCACCTCTTTATCCTGAATGATCCATCCACCCATCCCTGTGGCTCTCCAGCCCAAGTATGACTTTGGCCTGCCTCACCAGTACTTTCCACTCAGACCTAACTGATGCTTTTCTTTTCCATGCTTGGATTCCAAGCTATTATAGATCTTTTTTCCACATCATCCATCCGTCTAAGCTTACGTCTGCCTTTGAGCCGCTTTCCTCTGGGGTTTTGGTGATGTACCAGCTCTTCACTCCTCTGGCATTTGGCATTTTTTTTTTCTGCTACTAGCGTGTTTCGTATTCTCCATCCATATTCATCCTTTGTTAATCCATATATTTTCCGGAGAACCTTTCCCTCCATAGGCGTTCTGCCTTTTTTGTTATGGTCCAAGTTTCACTTGCATATGTTACAACTGTTCTGATTACAGTTTTATAATTAGTTTTCTTTGTTTTTCTCTTAATGTTTTACTTTGCATTTGTCTGTTCTTCTCTTAACATAGTCATGTAATATTTTCTTTACTTTTGTTTTGGTTGTTAACTTCCAGCCCTGCTCGTAGTGATACATCTTTTTATTCATTAAAGGCTCTTGATATGTCTTCACTACTTTTTCCTAACGGTGCTATGTCATCAGCATATGCCATAAACTGAAGGGGCTGATTCAAGAGAGTGTCTGTTGGTTGTGGGACTTGGGTCTCCCTAAGAAAGTATCCTTCTATTGTTCCTCAGGTGTCAATAAGTATGCTTCTTATAACTCTCTAATGTTAGATTAAATAGCGTAAAAGATAGTCAGTCTACTAGTAGTAGGCCTCGTCTCATCGGAAATTCCTTTCAATAGTCTCCCTGAACCTTGATTTTTTAATTATTTTTTTTTTGGGGGGGGGGGGTTGTTTAATTTTCAGTGCACCAGTCTTGTCATTTTTGAGCGGTATGCCAAACTTCTGCTGCGTCTCATACAGGTGTTTTCTTGAGATACTGTCAGAGGCCATTTTATAGTCCACATAGAGTTGACGTACTGGGATATTATATCTGTAACATTTCTCTAATAGGTTTCTGATGGGGGACAATCTGACCAGTCGGTGATCTGTTGGAGTTGTTGTCACTGGTGTTTGTCTTTTGTCGTGAGGATGCCAGCAGTTTTTTCATTGAATTTCTTGCAATTCAGCTATAGAGATGTATATTTAATTACTTGATCTATTAAGTTGGCTAAGACTCCTGCTCAAAACAGGCTTTGTACGTTCCAAGCCGCAATCCAAAAATCATGTCCCCAGGCAAAGGTCAAAGGTCATATGTTGATTTCCATTAGACTCAGTCCGGGGTTTATTTAGTTGCTTGGCTTTCGTAATGTTTATTTTGTATACATGGCCGAGTTGTTGGCCCTGGTTTTTTTTTTTGTTCTTCTTTTTCGTTAGTTCATTTTTTTTTTTGGGTTTTTTTTTTTTTTTTGTGGGGGGGGGGGGGGGTTGGGGGCTGCCCCTTACAGCTCTCTTAGTAGCTGCCTTAATTTCGGATAAGGTTTCCTTGCCTTTGTGGGTTCTTCCACTTGCTACAAGGCAGTTGGTTCTAATTTTGGTCCACACCGGGTATTTTATTTACCCAGTGCCCGCCACATTTGGTGGGCTTTCCCATATTCGCCACCTGGAAATAGGTCGATGGAAGATCAGTTATGTACTCACGAGTTACCATGAATCAACCATGACATATTTCCGAGGCCCTATGGACTAAGAGCCCAAATGCATCGATCTATTCAGAATATCATTGAATGGCACATATATCCATGGATTCATAAATACATCAATCAAGTCATCCATTTATCGTGAAGATTTAAACACACAAGACTGATCACACTGTAACAACGACATTTCATCAAATAACGATATATCATCAGACAACGACTTATCATGAAACAAAGGCATAACATCATTTAACATATATTTATTCTCCTACAAGAAATTGAAATATACAAGATTAGGAAAAAAAATACAGTGTAAAATATATGATCTGACATAGAAGAATTCTGTGTGTGCCACGAGTATAGCAGAACATGCTATCCAAGCTCACTCTATCACTACCATTGCAGTATCAAGTGCTGCAGCACAAGCTACCATCGAGTTTGTGTGTGTGTGCTGTAGCTAGAAGCTACCTTCTGACAGATGTGTTTTCTTTGACCGTTAAATCTCAGCCCCAGGGCTGCAGCACTATGTACGCAATGTGTCTACGTGTAATGATAACTCTGGTTTTTATAAATGTACTCTTGCCGTCTTGTGTTGAGAAACTTTGGCGTGACCAGGTCAAGAGGGCTGAACACACAGTGACCAGGTCAAGAATACTGGCAAAAATCTAACCATTGGACATTTATTGAGGTATGATAACAAGGTCATGTGATTAATTTAGTTGTTTTTTTTTAAATTTCGCGCAAGGGAAGCTAGTCTTTTAAATAAATATTTTCGTTAGAAGTAGCCTCCCTTAACACTTAAATTTGCGAGAGGGGTTTTCTTTCTTCCTGTTGATTTCAGGCCCCTGATAGCGTTTTCCAACATACACATCAACAATACATTTATCCAAGAATACAAGATTGGAAAACAAATGTAAAAAAATAAATAATAATAAAAAAGTGAATCTATTATGTGTATTTTAAAAGATTAAAACCTAGAGCTTTGACCAAATAATTGAACCAGTTTCCTGAACAAGTGTTACACATTGACAATCAATTTACTTCATCATTCCAGAAACGTTTCACTGGTAGTTTTTTTTTTTTTTTTGAAAGATAATTTTTTTAAAAACAGATTTTAAAATTTGTTTGGAATTTGATTTCACGTTGGGCAGATAACATGCTAAAATGGTCACGTGTTGGTCCTTATGCCTTCCTGAGGGCATCGTTGAAAGCACCGAGGAAGTTTGACCAGGCCTTGACCTCGTCACTTCCGGAGCCGACTCCGAGAGACTTCTCAATNGGGGGGTGGGGGGCCGACTTTTTATTTTCTAATGGATCTGCTGGGGGAAACCAGACCATAGTCTTAAGATTTAATACTTGTGCGTGATCGGAAGTGGTGGGGTGCCAGACACAGAGATCATTTTACAGAGAACGCGATGACACAAAGATACTATCACACAGAATGGGTTGACAGAAAGATACTATCACACAGAACGCGATGACACAAAGACACTATCACACAGATGCGATGACACAAAGATACTATCACACAGAACGCGATGACACAGCGACACTATCACACAGACGCGATGACACAAAGACACTATCACACAGAATGCGATGACACAAAGACACTATCACACAGATGCGATGACACAAAGATACTATCACACAGAACGCTATGACACAAAGACACTATCACACAGACGCGATGACACAAAAACACTATCACACAGACGCGATGACACAAAGACACTATCACACAGAATGTGATGACACAAAGACACTATCACACAGATGCGATGACACAAAGATACTATCACACAGAACGCGATGACACTAAGATAATATCACACAGAAAGCGATGACACAAAGATACTATCACACAGAACGCGATGGCACAAAGATACTATCACACAGAACGCGATGACACAAAGACACTATCACACAGAATGCGATGACACTTAGTAGACCCTTACCCCAAAATATTCGAGTCCAATGCTTGGGCTCATGTTAATGTGAGTCTTGGCCAGCTTGTCCATGGTGGCCTGGAGCTGGGCGGCGTTGTTCACCTGGCTGATCAGGGTGTCAAGGACGTTGACGATGGTCTGGGACTGCTTGACGAACTCTGCGTCACCCTTGAGGGCAGCGTCAGGCTGGTTGGCGTTGAACTTGGTGAACTTGTCACGCATGTTGGGGACGTTCTCAAACATCCTGGTCGAGAGAGAACGGCGCATTGGGGTAGTGACATGTCAGCGTGTGGGTGGTGACATGACAGAGTGTGGGTGATGACATGACGGTGTGTGGGTGGTGTCATGATAGTGCGTGGGTGGTGACATGACAGTGTCTGGGGTAGTGACATGTCAATAAGTGGGTAGTGATGTGTACGTGAGTTGGTATTGTCATTTCAGTATGTTGGTAGTGACATGTCAATGTGTGGGTAGTGACATGCCAATGTATGGGTAGTGACATGCTAGTGTGTGTGTGGTGACGGTAGAAATGGCACCAATTCGTCTAAGCGTTTAGGGCAGTATGAAGGTGTTCAATGCAGTATGAAGCTGTTCAATGCAGTATGAAGCTGTTCAATGCCTTACGAGAGAATCGTTAGCAAACTGTTTGCTCAACGCTAGAAAGATGAAGCTGTACTCACCACAAGACGAGGTTGATCCCGGCATTCTTCTTGCCGTCAGCAGCGGATCCAACCAGTTTCTTCCATGAGCTGTCAAGAGCTTTCTTATCGCTAAAAAAAAAAAAATTAGAACAGAATCAGTCGTATACATCCAACAAAAAGAATGTTGCATTTAAAATTGTAATGTTTTCTCACACTAATTTCAGCTTATTTTTTGTTTCATTTATAAATGTAAAGAAAATAATAAGTCGTTGATAGAAAAACGTTGACGATAACAACTGGCAATATTAGTCTTTTGAAATTAAAAATAAAAACAATGACGTCATCACATTTTGTGGAGGAAAAAAAATATTAACAGTTATCTAAGGAGTTTAAAAAATGTTTGCAGAAAGAGTGATGTGTGCGAGGGAGGCATTTTTAGCGAAATACTAAATTGTGTGAGGGAGGCCTATTTGTTTTTTTAGGAATAGTGATGTGTGTGAGGGAGGCCTATTTTTTTTAGGAATAGTGATGTGTGTGAGGGAGGCCTATTTTTTTTAGGAATAGTGATGTGTTTTAGATACTTTCCAAAATATGAATCAGCCACCAACTAAGAAAACACAATCCAAATACTTACGTGTCGGACAAGGCCATCTTTATGGGTTAGTTCTGAAATGATTATAGAAGAGAGAATACTTAGCACGTCATCACGAGAGGAGATTCAAATTTGTTTTTAAAATTATGTAATAGAAAAAAGGTGGGGTGGTCCCCGGGGGGGGGGGATCAAAAGAACTTACTAGGAAACAAATAAAAACACATGCGGCACCTGCTATAGATTCAGTAATGGACGGTACACGCATTTTTGAACAAAACGAAATAGTGCATATTGCAAATTGCTGCGTACTGCATGTTGGTGGTACACATACGATTGAAGCCTCATTTCGATTGATGCCTCATTTTGATCGAAGCATAATTTCGATTGATGCCTAATTTCGATTCAAGCCTAATTTCCCCTGAAGCCTCATTTCGATTGAAGCCTTATTTCGATTGATGCCTAATTTCGATTCAAGCCTAATTTCCCCTGAAGCCTAATTTCGATTGATGCCTAATTTCGATTCAAGCCTAATTTCCACTGAAGCCTAAATTCGATTGATGCCTAATTTCGATTCAAGCCTAATTTGGATTCAAGCCTAATTTGGATTCAAGCCTAATTTGGATTCAAGCCTAATTTGGATTCAAGCCTAATTTGGATTCAAGCCTAATTTCGATTTAAACCTAATTTCCATTGAAGCCTTATTTATTTCACGAGATTCCAGAAATCGCCGTGGTAGAAGTTGTCAACATGAAAAACTCGTTTTCGAAATCATATTGTGATCCCATCATTTTGGTTAGCCTTGTCAGTGCCAGTGGTAGGCAAAGCGCGCCTCCGAAGTCATTATGCGGGTCTTTATAGGAATAAATGAGGCCCTGCATGAGTTCCCAAAACTATTAGGAGATAAGATTTAATTTTTGTTCTACTTAATCAATGTAGCCAACCCTGGTGAAAGGCTAAAAGGAAACATCAAGGCCCCATGCGAGAACCTGAACAAATGCAAAAGGAAAAACGTTTTCTTCTGGAAATAAAACAAAACCGGGACAAGTAGACTATAAAATAAACTAAAATGACATTATCTCATGTTGAGAGAGGTTCGAGAGAAATATACTAACACAGATGGCCATAATTTGCGCCCCATTTCTTACAGTGGCATTGGCGGCGGGTAGCGAGGGGCGAACCTGGGACGACGAGATGATGTTTCAAAAAAAAAAAAAAAAAGGGGGGGGTCACCTTTTCTTGACTTTACACCGGTTTGCACATGGACCCACAACTAACAGGAAGTCAGGCGGTCCAGTCTGGCAAAGAGGGGGGGGGGGAGGTCAGAGCGGGTCAACTTTGCACCGACGTTCGACAATTTCTTTTTAAGTCCCGCCCGACACCGACGGTTTGTAAGTCCTTCCAGGGCCAAGGTGAGGTTAGCGTGTGTACATTACCTGCAGCGTGGAAGTACGTCGAACCCATGTAGGTAAATGGACAGAGAGACGCAGCCGAAAAACAAATATCAAATGGAATGAAGATGCGTGGACCGTTATGGATATTTGCAGATGATAGGAGAGGAGGTTCAGGAAGAGAGGGAAGACATAGAGATATATATATATATAAGAGAGAGAGAGTGAGAGAGAGAGAAAGAGAGAGAGAGAGAGAGAGAGAGAGAGAGAGAGAGAGAAAGCAAAGACAGCGAGAACAAATGCGACGCCCTGGGTGGGGGAAAAAGGGTGGGATACAAAGAATGTGACAAGGTCAGCGGGTGCAAATAGATCCCTGAAGTTGAAGTAAGCGTTGTACCCGATGGAACCACGCTTTTCTCCTGTCTGCCCTAGATGTACCTGTGCACACTTAACGGTACGTTCTTTACGAGGACCATTGGCTCGTCCGAGGAAAATATTACTTAAGGACACAGAATATTACATTTAGAAACAAAGCATTACTTTAGGACACAGATTATTACATTTAGAAAAAAAATACTACTTCAAGACTCAGAGTATTACATTTTAGAAATAGAATATTACTTAAAAAACGAATATTACATTTTAAAACATCTACAGGAGGCAATCAACAACCGTGTCTCATTTCTAAAAGTATCGCTATCATCTTAGTGTTCATGGGCACCACAAGAGAAGTGCTCATGGAGCACAAAGGGCCCCCGCGGAGCACATGTTGGGAACCTCTGATATATAACATGGCCCTTCAATCAGACGGACATGGTAATATAATTAAAAAATTAATGTAACCAAAACCACCCCCCCTCCCACACACATACACACCCTTTAATTTAAAAAAAAAAATTTAAGCCAACGAACAAAGCTAAGAGATTGATGTTTCAGATGTGCCGCACATTCACACACTGTCTAAGAGGCTAAGTCACTTGACATCTTTTGAACCATTTCAGAGCACGATCGCCAGTATAAGGAATCTTCTCTATGTTAAATGTAAGCAGCGGATGGTTGTAAGGAATAGATGGAGTGTCAGTGACAACTAAGTGTTTCAAGCTCAACTGTGGACTGTCCCTGACTTACGTGGCAGATTTTTATGTTATAAAAAAATGGAATTAAAAAAAAAAAGTTCTAGATAGGTTGTCCTGGAGTCTATCCCTTGGAATATCTGCCTTAACATAATTGTACTGAGTCACAAACGTGTACTAAGATTTTTGTATCACAAGTTTATATATAAAGCCCCCCCCCCCACTAACACACACACAATGATTTTACTATTCACAATATAGATGTGTGACCCTGGACTTGGAGTTTATGTAATTTGATCCGCTAATGTATCTTGTCACAGTGAGGCAAATTGAGGCATCAACTTGTCCACGCCAAACGTACCACCCCCCCCCACCGGCCCAATTTGTGTCTAGGTCAGTGGTTCCTAAACTTTTTGACTCGCGGAGCCCTTTTTAGAATCTCTTTCTATAGTGGAGTTCCTTGGGCCTACCGCATCTTACAGAGTAATGGTGTTTATTTTATTTCCTGGAGCAGAGCCTCGGCGCCCCTGAGAAGTGCAGGACGGCGCACAGGCTGGCAACCACTGGTCTACGCCAGGAGATTACAGTTGGCCAGTATTGACCTAGTAACACTTAAAACTACGGCAATCGGTCAACTATTTCCGAATTACAACCCCCCCCCCCCACATTTTTTTGTCACTCGCGTACTCCGTGGCTTCGGTTTAAAGAGAAATATAGAGATATATTAAAATTGCTTTCAATAAGCACGCGACTTTGATAAGAAAAAAAAATACAAAAGAACTTCAAACATAAGGAATTAATATTTTGCTTTGTTGTATGTTAACTAAAGAGCTTTTTAAAAATATTTGACGAGATAAGATTTTAATATACTTTTAAAAAAATAAAATAAATGGATAAATATATATATATATATTTAAGGAAAAATCAATCTAAATTTAATAAATTATAATTACGTGTACATATTGGTTAAGCATTTCATTATTGATTGCTCAAAAACACAAATACATCCTCGAAAAGACTTACAAAGGAATGCTATTTTTCTTATAAAGAGAATGGTTAATTTAGTTTGTTGTTTGTTTTTGTCTTGTTGTTGAGCTATACGTGATTTAAGTTACGGAAAGATATAATTCTGTGTAAAATTTATAGTAACAGTTTTTAACCGCAACTTTCGGGGGGAGAGGAAAAAAAAGGTACATAATTACTTGAATGATATTAGGAGATTAAGTATTATTTAAATTGAAATCTTCCTTCATAATTTAATTTATGTAAAATAAATTTATTGTTGCTTTCATATGCGCCCGAGAAAATAAATTATAGTTAGTCTACTTTAAATGTATGCCAAGGAAAATAATGGCCAGTTTTAGTTATTTGACAGCTAAAAAAATTATTTTGTTTTTCTAGAAATAATTAATTAAGAAAGCAATTAATAAATGACTTTAAAATGAATTGTTTCATTTGCGTTGTTTGGATTTGAACTATCTATAATGTATCATATATGAATGAATGCTACGCTAGGTACCAAACACTAAATGTCATCAATGTTCTAAGCTGATACAATATTCTGAATGTTTATTTTTATTTTTTAATTTTAAAGTAAGTTATTTTTGAAAAAAATTATTTTAAAAAGTTACAAAAAAAACAACAAAAAAACTTACGTTTTAACAAATTAATTTGGTGTAAATTAACATGTTTAATAAACTTTCATTATAATACTTATTCCCGCAAAGCTACTACTTCATAAAATGATTTCGTCATCCAGATGAAAAGAAATCAATTATTTAAAATGTGTCGCAAATAATGTACGCATTACTTTAGAAAGTGGACGGTGGCGACGAGTCATATAACTTAATAGCAGCACAGCACGACAGAACGAGAAAGGTGCCAAGTCTTTGACAAAACGCCTAAACCACAGAATACACGAACAAAATATTTACCAGAGAATCTTTGCGTTGCAAGGGAGAGCACTAGCGCTTTCCTCGCCTCTGTCTCGTCTGTGGTTTTATCCCCTGATCCGTGCGATTTTGAGACCGCTCTCAAAGGGCGCGTTCTGCGACCCCGGCAGACGCTCGTCACGTAGACCCTCAATATGGCCGACAAATGGTTCAGGGAACCCAAAGGTCAAAATAAAAGAAGAGAAAAAGAAAGGGGGGAGGGGGGAGGGGGTGACTTATAGGAAGAACAAACCCCAAACAAAAAAACAAAACCTTGTACTTTTGTTCTTGCAGTGGCGTCGCTGTGTGCATGTGTGTGTGTGTGTGTGTGTGTGTGTGTGTGCGTGTGTGTGCGTGTGTGTGTGTCAGGGAGGAGGGAAAAAAACCTTTGACGTAGGCATAGGGTCCCAAACAAGAGGTCTATCCTCGGAGACCTATTCTTTGGTCGCAAATATTCTTGGCAGTGAGTGGATATCCAGGGCAACGATGGGTGAGAACTGAGGTCTAATTCAAGAATATGATAAGTATTGCGTCACCAAAATAGAACGACGAGAGAGCAATTGCGTCATCACCAAATACAACAAGGAGACAACCCAACGAGGAAATGACCTAGGAAACTAGAAATCGTCACTGAAATAGTTGCACGCGAAGGGGCGGGACTTATAGTTAATGTGTACAAGTTAATGTCAACAACTAACGTATGATAGCCAAAATTTGGACACACTTGAACAAAATCATGTATACAAATTCTCATCAATGAGCCAAAATTTATCCAACGTCCTACTTGGCACTTCATGACTGAGTAAAAATTCGGCACCGTCCTACCGCACCAACCATGAACACGCTGTAGTAGAAACCTCTTGGTTTCCAAAGAACAGATGGTTCCATTCATCACGCCACTGTGCTACCTTTTCAATGAATCAAAAGCTTTGTATTTATCATTTTAAAAAAGTTAAATTTTTAAGTTTTCGGACATGTATCATGGACCGACTCTTTCCAATGATGACGACGGGTCTCCAGGTTCAGGCCGAGTTACATGTATCATGGACCGACTCTTTCCAATGATGACGACGGGTCTCCAGGTTCAGACCGACTCTTTCCAATGATGACGACGGGTCTCCAGGTTCAGACCGACTCTTTCCAATGACGACGGGTCTCCAGGTTCAGACCAACTCTTTCCAATGATGACGGCGGGTCTCCAGGTTCATGCCGAGTTTCTAATACTATGGCGGTAATTTGTTGACTATCACTTTTGTTTGTTGCTTCCCGTCAGGCTCCAGAAGACGATGACGTCATTTCGTCGAAAACGTGTTGCCGGAGCTTAAGACCAGTAGAAGGAACAGCCATCTGATGGAGTTTAGCATATCCTAAAATTAAGCACCACATGATGGAGTTTAGCTTATCGTAAAATTAAGCATCATCTGATGGGGTTTAGCATCTCGTAGAACGAACCTCCATCTGGTGTTGAGTCCCGACTACCGGAAGTGCCTCAAAATGTGTCTTTGTTGTCTGGTGCTTCTGGAGTTTGGCTAGAGCCCGTGATCGAGCGTGCCCATATCTAGCCCGTGATCGAGGGTGCCCATATCTAGCCCGTGATCGAGGGTGCCCATATCTAGCCCGTGATCGAGGATGCCCATATCTAGCCCGTGATCGAGGATGCCCATATCTAGCCCGTGATCGAGGGTGCCCATATCTAGCCCGTGATCGAGGGTGCCCATATCTAGCCCGTGATCGAGGGTGCCCATATCTAGCCCGTGATCGAGGGTGCCCATATCTAGCCCGTGATCGAGGGTGCCCATATCTAGCCCGAGATCGAGGGTGCCCATATCTAGCCCGAGATCGAGGGTGCCCATATCTACAGAGCCACCCAGACACGCTTCGTTTAGAAAATATAAATACAAAATAAAAATAAAAAGATGTCTCATTGCATCTATAGGAAGAGAGTACACAACGTGGTTGCACCAGAAGCGTTCATTAAACGACCTCAAAGTCAATCGTCGTTCGAGTACGTCCAAAAAAATAAAAAAAGATTCACACAAGTAAATGCAACCAGACATTAAATATAATCAGCATCAACAAGACATTAAATATAATCAGCATCAACAAGACATTAAATATAATCAGCATCAACAAGACATTAAATATAATCAGCATCAACAAGACATTAAATATAATCAGCATCAACAAGACATTAAATATAATCAGCATCAACAAGACATTAAATATAATCAGCATCAACAAGACATTAAATATAATCAGCATCAACAAGACATTAAATATAATCAGCATCAACAAGACATTAAATATAATCAGCATCAACAAGACATTAAATATAATCAGCATCAACAAGACAAAAAACATATAAATCACAGAGATCAAGTCTAATCATTTAATTCAAATCTAAAATTGAGAAGATGAGACATTCAAGTCAAAATTATCATTTCATTTCAAGTCCAAACAATACAATTCCAGTCTGATGAGTAACAATTCCGTTCTAAATTTTACAATTCGAGTCTAAAACACATAGTATAATTTTGTAAAATAATAACAATGGAGATGGTGATTTAATTAAGATTGGAGAAAAATTTGCCCCAAAAGCTACAGTTGTCAAGTAAATATTTTTAAAAGTAAAAATACCAGAATAAACCATCAAAAGGAAAAAAATAACCTATCCAAACCATAAACAAAAATATAACTGTTTGATTTGACCCAATTACCCCTTCCCCCCTTTGCCCTTTACTCACCATTTACTTTACAGACCCATTAAACTGGTCCCAAGCACATATTTTAAACTGACGCTTTTTTCAGTGAAAACAATTTGTACCGCAGACGGAGGAAACTGTGACCGGAGGTTTTTTTCAGACAGGTTTTGTCTGTCCTGACAGCTGAAAGTGGTGTCAGTCCGTTGTCAGTGATGTACGGGTTACGGCCGCCTGGGTGAGCCGAGGGTGGTTGAAAAGACCCCCGTTGGAGTTATATCCCCCCCCCCTCCAAACAAATTTCCGTTAGAGAGCTTGTTAGGATTATTTTAAAAGGTCCCAGATATAGGCATTTCTCTTATTGAGATATTCTTTCTGATCATTTAATTCTATCTCAAGCATATACAGAAAATATACAGTATAGTATTGTCTGATAACTTCAAGTAAAACCCAAACCCAAGTGGCTTGATACAGGGGCGTAGAAAGGGAGGAGCGGATGGGCGGTAAGGCCCGTGGCGACACTTCTTTCTTTTTATTGAGGGGCATCATTTTCAACCAACCGCATGAATTTTTCTCATGGCGGTGGCGTCGCAGAAAGCTTGGCTCGCCCCGCACAGCACCAACCCTAGCTACGCCACTGATTAGACACCATACCAAACCAACGGTCTCCAGTGATGTCCTAGCAGTTCATATCAAATATGTTTGAGAAGCTGAGCTGCAGTAACTATCCAAAAGATGCAGAGACAAACTAGATTCGATGACCCCAACGGCCAGCTTCCAGCAGTGGGTAATCATAAGTGCGTGCTGTTCAGTGCACCATCTTGAGTGCATAAATGCTTATAGTGCACCATCAAAACTGCATGACATTTAGCGCACCGAGTAAAGTGCATGATCCTCGAATGCGCACGTCTTTTAGTCCCAGAACTGAACCTAATGTCGTTTGAAGGATTAATCCCTTACACCCCGCCCCCTCATGTCGCGCTATTTCTTTGGGGGAGAATCGTCTCAGCCAGTCGAAAGCCTCGAGGTTCCAAGGTCGCTGCCTCGTTCTGAGCCCAGATCTATGACGTCCGACAATCTGACATTTGTTACTGAAGTTGTTCCCGCCCCAAGTTGTCCGTAAATCATTGCAGCAGATGCGAGGTAAACAAAGGCAAGAATTCCAAGCGCCGACACCCCAGGTCAAGGTCACACCGCCCCCCCCCCCAATTCAGAGACTGAGCTAGGGCCTCAACCATGCTCATGAACACGTGCGCAATCATCCGGTGTTCAAAGTGATGGGGGAGATAACTCAAGGGGGCTGAGGGGGGAGGGTTACACCCCCCGGGGAGGGGGGACATTCGTTTTTGTTGTTGTTAGGGTTGGAAAGTTACTGTTCTTCAAGCTGCTTGCGAGCCAGAACCCTGTCTCTCTTTCTCTCTATCTAGTTTACTTGCCCTCTCTATCCTCTCTCCCCTCCTCGCGTCTCTCACTATCGCTCTCTTCATCTCTTTCTCTGAATGTCTCTTATGTCTCTCTCATCGTCACGTTCAAAAAGAAACGAAAGCCAAGACCAACCTAAGGCAGGAAACGAAAGACGCAAGGCGTGACGATTTTAATCAAATACAAATTGGAGATCTCCGGTCAAGAAGTTCTGAACACTTAGGAGATGTAAATACGTTCATCCGATGCTGAAATGTTGGAGGAGATTCGTAACAAGATTTACTCCCCTTGAGAGCTATCTACATCATATCAGGGTTCACAGTAAGTTCAGCCGGTCATTCTCACCTGCACTCGTATCAACCGGTCATTCTCACCTGCACTCGTATCAACCGGTCATTCTCACCTGCACTCGTATCAACCGGTCATTCTCACCTGCACTCGTAACAACCGGTCATTCTCACCTGCACTCGTATCAACCGGTCATTCTCACCTGCACTCGTATCAACCGGTCATTCTCACCTTCATTCGTATCAACCTGTCGTTTTCTTAATTTCCTTAACTTGTTAATCCAAGTATTTCCCTAGTTACTGTTGTTGACACCATAATAAGCTCATATATGTCTGAAACTGAAAATGCAAACGGCAAGTCTCTCCCTACCTCCCCCTTATCGACGTCACAAGTGAAATCAAATCCAAATAAATCAGTTCTTTTCTACTTTCAGCCAACATTACTCAGCAAGCGATGCGTTGACTTCATGGAGATTTTCAAACAAATAGGTTTTTTAAAAAAAAATCGTTTGATACCTAATTATCGACTTTTTCTTGTTTTGTATTGTCTGCTAAAGCAGGCGTCTTGCCGAAACGTCCTTTTCATTTCAAGCCTGAACAGATCTGACTCCACGAGTTCCGATGAATTTGAACATATTTGAAGCATTTCTGTAAAGTTTATTGAGAAATTGATGAGAAAACCATTTTGTTGTCTCCACCAAAACGCCACCTGGGTAATTTATAGGGACGATTTGTTTATATTTTGGTTTTGACCATCCAATCAGGTCACAGCCCAGGGGACTGCTGTACACAGCAGCGTGTGTTTTCATCAACCTAAACTGTTGTGGCTAATGTTTATCTTCTTTTCTCATTGAGGTACGTCACTGAAACAACAGTTATAAATTGTTTTTACGCG